TGATCGGATGCCCTCAGAGGCTTGATGATGTTATGTACACCTATACCTATGCATGACACAAAATTTATATGGACGTGCATGACATTATAAATGTTTCAAAATTCTTTTACAAATTTATTCAGACTTATAGATGGATCTCTTTATTCCATGTTTCATCTATGTCTTTTATGTACTGATTTTCATGCCTTACATACTCAGTACATTATTCGTACTAACGCCCTATTTCCAGGGGCTTGCATTTCATGCCCGCAGGTGCAAGTAGGCAAGTCGACGGTCCCCCTTCTTAGGGTCCTTGATCAGCGAGAGTTGGCGTGCTCCACTTGATCCGGAGCTGCTTTTGATTTTGGTATGATCTGCTTGTATATATATATATATATATATATATATATATATATATATATATATATATAGTATGACGTGCTCGACGTCCGTTAGTTTAGTACGTAAGTTTATTACTNTATATATATATATATATATATATATGTATATATATATATATATATGGGTATGATGTGGCTCAGTCCTGTCTTTGTACAGTTGTATTTCTATTAGAGGTCTATAGACAGATATGTATAGTTGGATAGTTTGTGGCCTTGTCGGCTTTCAGTTTTGGGTATATTGTTGTCTATAACAGCCTTGCCGGCTCGCCCCACTGTATTTCGCATGTTTATGTATATATGTCTTTTGGACATGTTTCCCTCACGTACACTATTCATGTTTATTTCATAAACGCATGAATGTTTGACATGTAGGATTCGGGCACCCGTCACGGCCCATCGGTTTGGGTTGTGACAAAAGTGGTATCAGAGAAGTTCTATCCTAGGGTTTTCTACAGAACGTGTCTAGTAGAGTCTTGTTTATGGGTGTATTGTGCACCACACTTATAAATATGAGGCTACAGGACATATAGGATGTTATCCTCTCTTCTTATCTTAGATCGTGTGATATAAGAATTCATGTTCCTAACGATATGTTATATTTTCAGTGATGCCTCCAAAGACTACAGCCGCCCAGAAGGGAAATTCCGTGGTTGGTGCGACTACTAGTCGAGTGCCACGAGTTACCAAGGCTCGGGGGAGAGTCTCATTGTGAGATTCCATCTCAGACTTTACACACCCTGCCCTCTCCAGGAGAGCTCCGAGGGGCACTAGCTCCAGCGCCCACCCCTGTACATTCAGCCCCTCAACCAGATACACCGGGTGAGGAGATGAGAGATGTTATTCAGCTATTAACTCGATTAATAGCTGCATAGGCTCGGTGTCAGGAAGTAGGTATTGGTTATGCAGATAGGTCCGTCAATGCGAGGATTTATGATTTCATCAATTTGGACCCTCAGGTATTTATCGATAGAATGCAGAGGACTTTAAGGGTAATAAAGGCCCCTACGACTGAGTCAGTTGAGCTAGCTTCCTATAGACTTGAGGATGTTGCAGTTAATTGGTACGAGTCTTGGGAGTTGTCCAGAGGTGAGAATGCCCCTCCAGTAGTATGGCAGGAGTTTACAGAAGCTTTTCTTCGTCATTATCTGCCACCAAAGCTTAGACGGGCCAAAGTTGATAGGTTCTTGACCCTTCGGCAGGGTAACATGAGTGTTCGGGAGTACAGTCTTCAGTTTGATTCATTGGTAGGTATGCTCCCACTATTGTATCTAAGATAGAGGATCGGTTTTACCGGTTTGTGATGGGGTTAGAGTCGTACTTGCTTAACGAGTGTATGTCGGTCTCACTTCAGCCAGACATGGATATTTGCCGTATTCAGCATACGCTCAGGATGTAGAGGAGCATAAGCAGAAGCAAAGGGCCGATCGTGAGCATGATAGGGCCTAGAATAAGAGAGCGAGATCTTCGGGTCCTTCTGGTGAGTTTCGAGGTGGTCAAAGACAATAGTACCCGAGGTATCCACCCCAGCCATCGGCTAGCGCGCCCCCTCAGTTTGGCAGTAAGAGATTTGATCGTTCCACATATTCAAGACCTGGTCAGAATGCTAGAGCCTTAGGTTCTTAGTATTGGGATTAGTCAAGTCAGATGAGGCCGCACTTGACATGATGTTCTCAATTTGGTAAGCAGCATGCCAGGCAGTACCGTATAGGGTTAGGTGTTTGTTATACTTGTGGTTATCCGGGCCATGTTACAAGGGATTGTCCGACGAGAGGTGATACAAGCATAGCTCAACCAGCGGGATCTATAGCTGGTTCCTCATCATTAGTACGCCCCCCTGGGCAAGGTTCACAAGAACCAATGAGTCGTGGTAGAGGCGGAGGCAGAGCATCTAGCTCGAGCGGTCCTCAGAACCGCATTTATGCGTTGGTAGGACGACAGGATCAGGAGTCATCACCTGATGTTGTTACAGGTATATTATCAGTCTCCTCATATGGTGTATATGCACTTATTGACCCATGTTCCACCTTATCATATGTTACTTCGTTGGTTGCTAGTACGTTTGGAATAAAACCTGAATTGTTTAAACCTTTTGAGGTGTCTACACCTGTTGGGGACTCAGTAATAGCTAAGCAAGTATATAGGGGTTGTATAATAGTAGTTCATAGTCGATCTACCATAGCGGACCTAATCGAGTTGGATATGGTAGAATTTGATGTTATAATGGGTATGGATTGGTTGGCTTCTTGCCATGCCAACATTGATTGTAGATAAAAGATAGTTCGATTTAAATTTCTAGGGAAGCCTATTTTGGACTGGAAGGGTAATATGGCATCGCCGAGAGGTAGAATTATTTCCTATCTCAAGGCAAGGAAGATGATCATAAAGGGTTGTATTTATCACTTAGTTTGGGTTCAGGATGTGGAAGTAGAGTCACCAACCATTCACTCCATCAGTTTGGTTAATGAGTTTCCCGATGTTTTTCCCGATGAGCTTCCGGGTCTTCCGCCAGAGCGAGAAATTGAGTTTGCTATTGACCTACTACCAAATACTCATCCAATATCTATTCCTCCCTACAGAATGGCGCAGCAGAGCTGAAAGAGTTGAAGGAACAACTAAAGGACTTTCTTGAAAAAGGATTATCAGACCTAGTACATCACCGTGGGGAGCACCTATGTTATTTGTGAGGAAGAAAGAGGATTCCTTACGGATGTGTATTGATTATAGACAGTTGAATAAGGTGACGATCAAGAATAAGTACCCACTCCCGAGGATTGATGATTTATTTGATTAGTTGCAAGGTGCCAAGTGTTTTTCAAAGATAGACTTGAGGTTCGGGCACTTTGAGTTTCGTGTTATGTCATTCGGTTTGACTAATGCCCCAGCAGTATTCATGGATTTAATGAACCGTGTGTTCAGGCACATTATAGATATGTTCATAATTGTATTTATCGATGATATATTGGTGTATTCTCGTTCAGAGGCTGAGCATGCAGATTATTAGTGTATTGTGCTCAGAGTTCTACAAAAAGCGAAGTTGTATGCAAAATTCTCTAAGTGTGAATTCTAGTTGAATTCTGTGGCTTTCCTTGGCCATATCATTTTGGGTGAAGGCATTCGGGTGGATACACAAAAGATTGAGGCAGTAAAGACTTGGCCTAGACCCACAATACCGACGGAGGTTCGTAGCTTTCTTGGTTTGGCAGGTTATTACAGGAGATTTGTAGAGGGATTTTCTTCCCTTTCAGAACCTTTGACAAAGTTGACTTAGAAGGGAGCAAACTTTCAATGGACTGATGCTTGCGAACGAAGTTTCCAGGCATTAAAGGACATATTAACTTCAGCACCTGTTCTAACGCTCCCAGAAGGGACTGATGGTTATGTTATCTATTGTGACGCTTCAGGCGTTGGATTGGGTTGTGTGTTGATGCAGCATGGTAAGGTTGTAGCTTATGCTTCTATACAACTAAGAAAGCACGAGAAGAACTACCCGACCCACGATTTAGAGCTAGACGTCGTGATTCATGCACTAAAGATGTGGAGGCACTACTTGTATGGCACTCATGTTGATATCTATATGGATCAGAAGAGACTCCAGTATATCTTCAAGCAAAAGGAATTGAATTTACGTCAAAGGATGTGGTTGGAGCTACTTAAAGATTACGACGTTGATATTTTATACCATCGGGGGAAGGCAAACGTTGTAGTCGACACCCTTAGCTGTAGATCTATGGGTAGCCTGTCATATTTACAGCCAGAGAAGAGGGGAATAGCCCATGAGGTTCATTAGCTAGCTAGTCTTGGAGTTCGGTACTGGACTCAGGTGATATTGGAATTACTATTCAGGATACGGCAACATCCTCTTTAGTAACTGAAGTGAAGGAACGCTAGTACGAGGATCCTGTGTTAGTTCATTATAGGGATACAACCCCTCAGAAGGAGAAGACACCGTTTGAAATCACAGAAGATGGGGTCCTCAGATATCGAGGACGATTATGTGTCCCTAGTGTTGCAGGGTTATGTCGGCAGGTTATGGGAGAAACTCACTATTCTCGTTATTCTATCCATCACTACTGGAAAATTCACCTATGGCTACGCATGAAAAACCGTTGCAACAGATAGGTAAACCGTTGCCATAGATGTATTGCAACGGTTCAGCACCCGTTCCACAAGCTCGCGTGATAATAGAGCTTATGGAACAGTTTTTGGAACGGTTCAGATAACCGTTGCTATAGTATAGTCTATCGCAACGGTTTTCCCTCTTCCTGTTGGAACGATTATTTTTATCAACTGCAACGGTTAATTTCCGTTACCATAACGCTTATATCAACGGTCTATAACCGTTACTATATCTATTAAACTGTTACGGATATTGGATATTGTAGAAATGGCAACGATTTCTTTAAGATATTGCAACGGTTGAACTACATATTGCAACGGTTTTTAGATTATTTTGGAACGGTTTGCAAGTCCTATGGCAACGGTTCTGTTAGCTACTTTAACAGTTCAATTGAATTGAAAATATTGTCCCCTGCTATAAATAAAGATTTACATATATATACAATAAACTATAAAACACTAAAATTTATATAAATAACAAAATGAAACTATTCATAATCCAAATTGTCCAACAAGCTAATAATAAATCTATAGATAGTGATGAAATGTTACCAAGTACATACATTTGATATTTCAAGAGTTAAAAGTTTTAAAAAGTTTTGATAACAAACATTCCTAGAAACCGCCACATGCATCTACAACAATCAACAATTCAAAATTCTCTTTAAGTAAGGTCTAGATCTTCATCATTGTCTCCGTCTTCCATTTTCTTCATCTACTCCACCTACAAAAGAGTATAAATAAAGTCATTATCCCTTCAAGAGAATCTTATCTAAAAATTCTCTTATCCTAATTTTCGGAAAATGTTGAGACTTCAACAATAAGCACATAAAAAATTTCAATCATTCAATATAAAACCATAAATAAGATTCATTACCTTGGATTTTATCCAGGCAAAGAAATAAACCAGAAAATGAATTTTGCTAGAATCAATTGTTCTGCACTCCAATTAATAGAAGGCAAAGACACAATACTAAGGCTGAACTTTGTTAAGCTGTGTTCTTCTAAATTTTGCAATCAGGAATCAGGAGAGCATTTTTATCCTATTACTAAACTGAGTCAAAAATTTGAATCACATAATCGGCAGTTCGGTGCATTAAGCTCGCGCTATGCGCGGGGTGAATATGTAAATACAATAATATACCCCTTGCGCTTTCCATGAGGCTTGATAGCATAATAATGATTAGAAGACAATGGCTTATTAAGAACTGGAATGAACATTACATCATCCAGGGGCGGACCTAGTGCATAGACAACTTTAACGTTTCAATTGAAAATTCATCAAATATAGCAAAATACTCAACAAAATTGCATTTTGATCCAATTTTTTGCAGAAAAAAAGAAGGCAAACTTAAATGGAACAACAGAGGACAGAAGCATACTGAAAAATTCGGCAAAACCCAGCCGAAAATCCAGTTGAAAACCAGCGTGAACCCCATCTCCAATCAACCACGAAACAACTCCAAAACGCGGCCAAAACTTCCTTAAAATGACTTCACAAACAACCCCTCTTTCTCCACCATAAATATCCTTTAAAACCAGTAAAACATTGCCAGAAAGAGAGAGAGCGAGAGAGCGTACAGTGGTAGAGAAGCAACATAAAAAAAGAGAAGAAGAGGAAAGAGAAGACGTGTAACATTTGGTACGGACTAACCTTGATTGTTACTGCCAGCGGATGGACAATTGATTGGTTGAATAGCAGCTTGTTGTGCAGAAGAAGCTTCTCTAGGTGCACGAGCACTAAATATTAGCATGTCAGGATCAAGTCTTAAATCGGGGTTTAGACGTTGAAGTCGTGTAACGACGTTCATCGTAATATCTTGTTCCATAGCTTCCTTTTGTGCATTGAGCTTTTCCAGCAATTTTTGTTGCATCCTCTCTTCCATTTCCTCCATTTTTTGTTGCATTCTCTCATCAGTAGTATTTACAGAGGATCCAAAATCTCCTTTTTTTTTTTTAAGATAGTCTTGTTAACTCCTCGTCCATACAATCTTACCCGACCTGGGTGCTTAGGTCCCAAGACTAATGCAAACGTGTCAACTGAATCACTGACATCTCCACTTTCTTGAGTTGATTGTATTCTCTCCATTTCAGCCTACAAACCAAATGCAAGAGAACAGAGTTTAAGTAAATAAAACTAAGTCAATAATTAAGAAGAAATAATAATCACGACAAACTTTAAATTAGAAATTTCTTACAATTTTACTAATTGTATTCTCATAAGAGCCTTTGTATACTCGACTAGGTTTTCTTTTTCTAGTAGCCACAAAGATGTCCTTACTTAATAGAGTATCCGAAGTATCAGCCATTTCCTTATTTTTTTCCTAGTCATATGAAAACTAGTATAAGAATCTTTTTCATGCAAAGTTAGCAAGTTCATACATTAAGAAAAATAAGAGAAAAAATCAAACCTCGATGATTAGAGCAAAAGGTGTTTTGTCAGCCGTGTGTAGATGCTTCAACTTTTTTCGATTCTCGATATTGGTTTCGGACATTTTCTACAAATAAACAAGCAATTAGTGTCAGCTATTGTTTCTGGAAAACTTTAATGTTATGAAACTCCATCTTTGGAGCATCTTCAATCAAGGAAATAGTATGGTAAATAAGTCCTGCAATGGTAGTTTTGTTGCCTCCATGTCTATCATTGCATCTTCCTGCCTATATTTGTTTACCAATAAATGAGAATAGGGACTACTTTCCTAAGAAAGCATTGTTATGTGTTTGTATTTTGGAGCTGAAATGCCATAACTTGTTAGACTTTATCATTATTTTTGGAATTAAGTAGAGAAAGGATAATGTCAAGTGTGCAGAGAAGAGCACATTTGATCAAGTGGGAAGATGTGAGGAGGAATGGTGGATTATGGATAAAGAACTTAAGACTACATAAGTGGATGCCTTTGGATGGATAGTTGTTCATGAAGTAACTAAGTTCTGCTATTTTTGTGAAAAAAGCTCAGAATCAGTCAATATGGAAATCTGGAAGCTGCAGTTATCAGCTGGCAGGAAGATGAAAAAAGAAAAATAGGACCTATGGAAGGATCATACCATTATATGTATATTTTGGACAATTTGGTTAGAAATAAATCATAGGAGGACAGGTAGCAAATACAAGTAGAGTGGCTGCACAATATAACTTGACTCCTACAAACATCCTCCAAGCTATTGTATCTCATGACATAGATACTTTAAAATCTATCTCATGACAGGTAACTTATATGTTCTTTAAAGTGACACTCCGGAACAAAGTTGGAAAAAGTTAGATGTAATTACCTTGGCGGGATCGGAGTTCCAATATTCAGGAAGAGCTTTAAAGTGAGACGCTGGAACATCTAGCGGCCTATTCTCCATTCGAAGCTCGTCATTCTCATATGCTTCAAAGTGCTTTCGCTTCAACTGACTTTTATACTTTCTCCAAGCAGTACAAATTGAATCAAAAACCCATTTCTTCGCCTCTTCAGGAATGTCATATTTTTCCTACAAATTTAGTGCAATTAGGTTAGTATAAGAAAATATGAATTATCATCCACGCTTATTGAATATTAGGAACTTCAAACCTTGACATATTTCCAAATATCATTTTTTGTATCTAGTTTCCTCCAATCAAATACATTAAGAGGACAAAAGGTCCCATTTCCTTCCCAATGTGCCAAGGAAGTTACCCAACTCTTTCACAACATTATCAGTAGGACCAATGGGTTGATTAAACTCATTTAGCACGATTTTTTTACGGTCCTTCCTTCCGTGCACACTTTGCATTTGAGTAGGGCCTCTTTTTCTTTTGGCGCGGAAGGGCCTGCACTAATACAAAACAAGGATAATCACCAATCATCACTGTTAGTTAATTTTATGATTAAAATTTATATATACTTGCCTGGTTCCTCAGATTGTCCAATTGCTTCTTGATTGGTAGAATCTTCAGATTGTTCATGCACAACTTGTAATGTAGGAGTGATGGAATCCATTGGCACTTGCCGCACATGTTCTTGTACTCCTTGTGCTGTAGAAGAGGTAGAAATCAATGGCACTTGCCGCACTTTTTCTTGCAATTGAGATCTTTGCGAAACCTTTTCAGCTTCTTATTGTCTTTCTTCATTTTCATGAGATATTATTGCATGAAAGGTTCTTTTTGTTGTCAATGATTGATTTCGCAAAAATGCAAGTGATCGAGATTCCGATTGTCTTTCTTCATTTTCATTAGACCTTATAGCTTGAGAGGTTCTTTTTATTGTCAACGACGAAACCTTTTGGTTTCGCAAAGATGCAAGTGATCCAGCTGGAATGCGGTTGGATATTTTTTTATTTTTGCTTGAGCACCCTTCTTGATTCATGACTGTTAAAATCTCTGTTAGATTCAAAAAAGTAAACGCGAAATAGGTTAGCAAAAGCATTAATAGAAAGGCATCATCACAAAAGAGGAAAAAGAGGTTACATATTCCAATATATACAGTATTTCACAGATTCACAAGCAGACAATCTTAAGACTGGGAGTGTGTAAAAGACATCCTACTTTTTCCTTCTCTTTTTCTCTATATGACAGAAATCTATTCAGCACAAAACTGCTATCATGCATATATATATATATTTACATTTGTTCCTTTCTAATCTACCCATTACCCCTCTGTGTGTGTGTACCAAAGAACAAAGAAAGAGAAGTCTGAAGTTGCTTTTTGAGTGTCCCAAAGAAATGCAACGGTAGACACCTAAGCTGAAGAGTTAAATACTTTTGCTTGTTTTTTAACTAGCCAAGGCAAAAAAAAAAAAAAAAGAAAGAGGGGTGTGCTGGAAATGCTGATCAATTCATTGCCTTTGCCACAATTTTCATTTCTGGTATCATAGAAATTGTGGCAATTCCTAATAAATGAGTGAATGTTAGTGTGCCTAGTTTCAATTTTTGAGGACTCTTCAGTGTGGTTCAACAATATAAGCATCTGATAAGAAGAATGCCATTTTTTCAGATGGAGAGTGATTGAAATAAAATAGATCTTCATGTGTAGCTTGACATTCCTTAATTCTTTGAAGTCCTAAACACTAAAGCTAGGTTTCTTTTTTCCTTTCACACAATGTTCAATAAAAAGAAAATAGCTAGTTTACATAGATAAGGACTAGAACCGGGAGGAAAACAAGGAAACAAAGTAGTAAGTCAGGGATCAGCACGCCGCCTCCGGTGCGGCCGTTCGTTTGCTGCTCAAGAAGAAAGGAATTAGCGGTGCTTCTGCTACTGATGTAGATATTGATCCTTTAATATGAACTCCTCTTAAAGCCAATCACTCGATTTTAACAGATCCAACGTAAATCAAATTGACATCGGCTAAATCAATATTTAATGACAAATGAATTCAATCACGGCAAATCGCATTTCAATAAATTGGCTAGCATTTTATTCACACTGAACCTAATTCAAGGCAGCCAAATCCAAACAGCAATAACAGATAATGTGAAGTAGTCATGATTTTTCATTAAACCATATCTGAACAAAATACAGATGTAAGAGAATATACCTACTTGAGCAGAAAAGGCACTAAACAAAGTCAAATAAAGGCTGGAATCAATTCGAGTGAAGCTCAGTGAGGTCTCTAGCAATAAACACCAAAGTTCGAACTCAGTTTTCAGCTTGAGAGAGGAATGGCGGCTCCTAGGGTTCAAAATGGGAGAAGCGTTCTGTCCGTCTCTACTCTTCGGCGGCGGCTAGGTTTTTTTCATCAAAGGGAGGGTCTGGTTTGGTGCGAGTGAGGGAATGGAGAAGAAGAGGTCGGCGGCGACTTGATTAATTTTTGTGAGGAGGGTCTTTTGCCGTTCGTTTGCTGCTCAAGAAGAAAGGAATTAGGGGTGCTGCCAGGTTAGGAAAGGGGGGGGGGGGGCGGAGAGAATTTAGATCGTCGGTGTTGTTCAGATCGTCGGTGTTGGCCGATTATGGAGGTGTTGTTCAGATCGTCGGTGTTGTTGAGCCATCACCTCGTAATTTCCAATGAAACTGTATCTAAAATAAATTAGGGGTTTATATATATTTGGTATTTTATTAGATATAAAAACTAAAAATAAAAATTGAAAATCAGAGGCCACTCTCATTTTAGCGCCTCTCATTTTAGCGGGTAATAGAAAATTTGGGTGAAAAATAAGGAGGGAATTAAATGACCGTGACATAAGGCAGTATGGTGGGCCGGGCCCGGGCCTAAATGGGCTAAACGGGCCGTGCTAAACGGGCCTGGGCTTAGCGGTCCCGGGCTTCGCGGTCCCGGGCTTCGTGGGCTCAACGGGTAGGACCAGCTCGTGACGGGCCTAAGCCCATATGGTCCTGGGCTAAATGGGCCGGGCTTGTGGGCTTAGCGGGCCTAACGGGCTTTTTTTATTTCCGGGCTTTTTTTTAAATTTTTTTTATTTAAGGCAATTTCTTGTAAACCATATGTGTATGTATATATATAAATTGCTCTTATGCATGGCTATATAAATATATGTAGTATATATAATATAGGAATCTAATTATTAAAGTGTTTGACGAAAATGTAAAATAACAAATCAATAGTAAAACTAAATTGGCATGCATAATAAATTAATAACAAAGTACAACATGAAGCATAAATACGTCTAATAATTTTAAAATAACACAAATTGTTGAAAAATCTTAAAGACGAATTTGCGGATAAATACCCTCAACACAATACTTTATATGCCTCCTTAAAATGCCTGTGGTACACCCTGAACGAAAATTTAAGACTCTTCCACAGTTCTTGCACTTTAATATTTGGCCTTCTTCATTTTCTTCAAGCACTTCATAGTATTGCGAAACAAATAAGCGCACTCTTTCCGAACGAGGCATGATTTAACTTGAAAATTGAGATTGAGACTTGAAGTCTTGAAAATTGGAGATTGAGAGATTGAGAGAAATTTAGATTGAGAAATGAGTATTGAGTATTGAAATGAAGAAGAGGGAGGGGGGTACTTATAGTGTTAGAGAAGGTTTGTTTTGTAAATTGGAAAAAAAAAACCGGCTATTTGTGCAATTAATATGACCGTTGGTGGTCATTGGGGGTGGGGCCCTCATTTTGAAAAATCTTGTTTTGTAGTATATATAGTACTACTTCTTCATGTAAATATAATATATATAGTATACTAGTATAGTATACTAGTATAGTGTACTATATATTGTATGTTATGTATATATATTCCCTTATGTATTTTCTTGTAGTATATATTGTATGTTATATATATATATATATATTTTCTTGTAGTATATATGTATGTTATGTATATATATTCCCTTATATATTTTCTTGTAGTATATATTGTATGTTATGTATATATATTCCCTTATATATTTTCTTGTAGTATATATTGTATGTTATGTATATATATTATAGCTTATAAATAATTGCAAGTTAAAGACAAAAAAATATTGCAAAGAGATATTCAAGGGCATGTCTTATAATTTTTATTATCAAAAGTGGCATATCTTTCTTAGTCTTCTTCCCCCCAATAGAATGAGCACAACAAGGTACTAATACCACCATTAAAAGGAAAAAAAACTAAAGAAGATATGCCAAAGTACAAGTTACACCATAACCTACATTGTATCTCTAACAAATCTCATAAATCCTTCAAGGTTCGGAGGAGGTTCCGTTGGTGGTGGCGGAAAAGAAGCTTGTTCATCACCGCTTCCGGGCGAAGCAGCATCCTCCGCAAGTTCCGCTATCATTTCTTCATAAGCTTCGTCTATCTCCGGTTGTGATTCTGCAAGTCCAAAGTTTCTTCTTTCCGAGCGGATCCAATATCAGAATAGTACTGATTTTTCCAAGCTCTCCCTCATAGACGCTCTATGATCACCTATTTGAAGTCTTGCTTGACTGAAAGCGCTCTCTGATGCAACTGTTGAAGCTTGAATAGATAAAATATCCCGAGCCATCCTTGCAAGAACCGGAAAATGTTTTTCCCTTGCCTTCCACCATTCCAAAAGATCAAAGGTGCCGTCTGGATTCTCCTTTTCAAGTCCCTGCGACAAATAAACTTGAAGCTCATTTAGATGTGAAGTCTCATCAAAATTATCACCTTGAGAACCCCTAAACTCCGTCCAAGATTTAAGTGCTTTTAGGCCCGCAGCTCTTTTAGATGATTGTGAACTAGACGAAGTAGGGGTTGGAACATTTGGCCTAGCATTATCTAACGCAAGTTGATAAGCATTATAAATTGTTTGAGCATTTATTTTAATTGAGGCTTTTGCCTCTGCAAGTGTAGAAAATTCCTCAACTGAAAGATCTAAAGCCTTATAAATATTTGAGTACCAAAAGTGAGGACCTCCTAATTTCATTGTAGGATTTAACATTGCAGCAACACCATAAATAGGGGGGATAGGGAAAAAATATTTTTTAAACTTTTCTTTCATTGCATTTATAGCAAGTTTATAAATTTCCCCACCCTCCGAAAATTCAACAAACAAATCACATAGTGCTGCAATATAAACTAAACAATTTGAAATAGTAGGATAATATTGTCCAGAAAATGCATTTGTAGCAATTTGAAAATGTTCTAAAAAATCTATAAGAATTTTTACATTCGTCCAATCTTGATTTGTAAGGATTTCATCATCATCCTCACCACCAACACGAGCATTAAACGTTGCATTAATTGGGTTTCTATATTCATATGCAACTACTAAACTTTCGTACATATAATTCCATCTAGTTGGACAAGGTTTAGGAACCTTTCTTTCTCTAAGGCCAAATTCATCACATTTTTTAAAATACTCTCTAAGTCTACTTCTACGGTTTGAATAAAAAAGCCAATTAAGAGCCATTCTAACCTTTTCAATTTCTAAATTTAAAATTCTCATACCATCACCGACGATTAAATGGTAAATGTGACAAATACATCTCACATGGAAACAATTACTAAATGCAGGATTTAGTGTTGTTGTAAGTATGCCTATAGCACTAGTGTTACTAGAAGCATTATCCATAGAAATTGCCATTATTTTATCTCTAATGCAAAAATATCTACAAATATCTG